ACACCAAGGACCATGAAGCCGGTGCGTGCCCAGGCAGTGCCCCCTCCTGCTGCCCAAAGGATAGCACCTACCACGAACACCTCATATACATCACTATCTACAGAACATACGTCATAACTTAAGGCAAGCCCAAACTAGCCAAGGGCACGTGCTTGGGTTCCCATTAAACGCACAGGCTTTGAAGGCTGTCTACCTCTCAGGGAGTCATTTACTCACCCTAGGCCCCAGTTTTCCCATACGTGCAATGGGAGGGTTGACGGCGATGGCAGCAGACACTTTCACTTCCCACGGGCCAGGCAGGGCCCATTTCATGCTCATCGCAGTCCTGTGGGGTGGGTGGTGCTGTCACCCGTCTCGGGGGAGGTCCCACAGCTAGCGTGGCAGAGTGGGTGTTTGGAGGTGGAGGCCGCCCTCTGAGATCTGCCAAGGACAGACACAAGACCAGGATGGCCCCTGCTCAAGAGGTGGGGGCTCTGCGCAGCCGCCACCACCCCACCCGAGGCCCAGCCTCAAATGGCTGCTCCCGCCTCTTCCTGAGCCAGCGCCCACGGAGGGAGGAGACCTAGGTGCTGCCTGTGAGGCCCAGCCCTTGGGCCCTGAGCGAGAGTGGAGGAGCTGAGGTTGGCCCAAACCTGGGGCCACCGGGCAGAGGATCAAGCCTGTTTCTGCAGAGGTTTGGCAGGGCCTGGCCTGGGGCTGGAGGTCCGTCCTGCCCCTTTCTCATCTTGACTACAGCCTCAGGGTGGGCAATGGGTTCTGACTTGGGCAGTGGGTCCGTGGGGTGGCTGAGGAGCCTGGGAACAAAGTCAGAACTGGGGGTCTCCAGACAGCAGTGGCTCTTAACTTGGTGTACAGGTAGGGAGGGAAACAGGCTTAGCAGGGGGCCGGGGGCCTGATCAGGTCACACAGCAGCCTCGGACAGGAGAAAAGCCAGGGTCCCCACAGCTCATGCTGTCGCCTGGCCCCTCAAGAGTGGCAAGATGTATCCTGAGTCCAGTCGAGGGATGGAGGGGGAGTGGAGGCGTGGCTGTGGGGTGGGGTATGTGTGTGTGACACAACAGAGCCAAGAGCAGGAACCCAAGACGCCATGATGTCCGCCCCACCCCATCCTGGCCACTCCCGCCCTTCCTCTCCACCTCCTCTAGAGACCGATCTCTCCTCTGGCCCAGCCCTTGGCCTCCCTTCTCCCCTGGGCCACCCTCCACCCCAAACCCCGCTTACTTCCCTGACCTCATCTTTTCCACTCTCCCAGCACAATAGCCCTTCGTGCTTCTGCCCGGGGCCTTTGTGCCGGCCCTTCCTTCGGCCCCACACTCTTCCCCCAGGGATCCCCACCACGCAGGCCTTCACCTCGTGCAGGGCTGTACTCAAAGTCACCTTCTCGCCCCTCTTCCTCCCTGACCCCCACCACAGACACCCTCCACGGTTGGCAGGCACAGCACATCGGCTCCACGAGGACGGGTAGGCTTCACTGCATCCTTGGCACCAGAACAGCGCCTGGCACGTTGTAGGCTTTCAGTCCACGTCTGCCAAGAGGAAAGGGCAGGCTCTGTGAGCAGAGCCAGCACGCCTCTGAGTCTGGCCTGGGGTGAGATGCTGCAGGTGCTGTGGGCTCTGGGCCTCGAGCAGGGATGGCGGCAAGCAGTGGCCAACAGCAGAGGTTCTGGACAGACCCCCTAGCCGCGCTGCCTCTGAGTCGCTGGAGAACACGAGGTGGTCAGTGAGGGGCTGACAGTGTGGGGGCCTGCCCAGGCCTCACACGGTCCTGGAATGCCAGGGATGAGAGCCCGCTCCCCACTACCATGTTCCTCAGGGGTGGGGGTGGCACCCCTGAGGCTGGGAGAGGACCCCTCGGGAGGTCACATACAGCAGGCTCGGGACTTGCAGGTCTGGTCCCTCCTCTTCCTCTGTGGACCCTGGGATCTCACCAGGTTTCCAACCTTTCCCCTTTCCTGCCCCCTCCCCGTCTCAGGATCTAGCTGTGCCTCCTTTTGTAACACATGCACAGAACTGTGCGGCACGATCACGTGTTACGAGCCTAATCGGCTAATGGACCTATAAACCGAACCCCAACCCCAGAATCAGAAAGTGATAGCCCGTGCCTACCCCTCCTCATCCCCCATCTCTATGTCCCTGGAGGAGTCCGCTTTAGAAAAATAAAAGTGTTATCACATATGTTAGTATGCCCAAATGCCACATCGCATGTTGCTGGCATTGCAGTTGTAAAACCAGCGTTGTAGTGTAGGCTGTCTGCTGGGGCATGCTTTTTCCTTCTTTTTGTTCTTGTTTTGAACATGCTTCGTTTGTGCTCCCAGCACTGTCGCCTGTCTGGGCAGGTAGCTGTGGGGCCTGAATTGCTCGCTGCTCTGTGGTCATCCACTGCATGTGACTGTACCACCCTGCATCCAACCATGCCCCTGCTGGGGGACAGCTGCATCTTTCCAGGGCCTCTGCACCCCCTCTTCCCTGGGGCCTGACTCTGAAGAGACTTCTCCACGTCTCACCCATGGCCTGGGGGGCTGTGCTCCCAGGCCCACTCCTGATTCTCCTGCCACAAGCCCACGGCTCCAGCCACCATTCCCTGCTCTCCTGGGCTCATTTCAGATCAGCACCCTATCCACGAGGGTTTCTTGAGCACTCACTCTGCGAGCCACTCTTCTCAGTACGTTACAGGTATCTCATTTACTATCCCCAGCAGCATAAAGGAGGGCCATTCATATTGTTTTCATTGCACAAATGAGGATATTGAGGCCCAGGCAGGTTGAGTGCCTTGCCCAGGCCCACACAGCAGATTGGTGGTAAGAGAGTTAAGGCTTATTGTGCCAACCTGGCTGATAAATACATTGAAGGGCGGAGAGATAAATGTCTTGGTGAGCCTCACCTTTCTGGTTCTCTGGTCTCTTGTTCTCTGATGGTCAGACCAGCGAACGGCTGCCTCAGCTGGCAAGGCTCACTTTCTGCAAGACATCCCTGAGGAGAAGCCACATGGACCTACTCTGATGCAGCCTTGGGTGCTGGAGAAGCCGCGTGGAGACCCCTGCCAGCACTGAGGTGCTTACACCGCCACTGGATTCACAAGACTTTCTGCCCAGTGACCTGTGGTCCTTCTGCATTCGGTGTCCTTGTGTGTGAGTTTGAGGAGGACTTTGTAGATCGGTGTCAGACATATGGGCTAAGTCGGACTTAAGGGCTTGGACCAGACTGGGTTGGGATACTTTCTGAATGTACACTTACCCTATATATAAAACTCTCTCTTATACATAGGAATTTCTGTGGATTTGTTTCTCTAGTTTACCTAGACTAACATAGGTGGCAAAGGGGATTTCAACAGACACTGTGCGGCCCCATAGTTCATACTCTTGAACCATGAAGTCCTAACCATCTTGCTCCCTGCTGCCCATCAGACAGGTCCCAGCCCAAGGCCCACAGGCAATTTGAGCTCCCTCCACATGTCCACACACCACCTCTCTTCAGCTTCCTCGCCGCTCCAGTGCCCCAGCAGAGCACCCCAAAGCAGCACAGACCCCAAAGTGGGAGTCAGCCTGCTTACTCCCTCTCCCTCAGCCAGCTTGATCTTGAACCCCCCCACCACCACAGCCCCTAACCCCCACCCTTAGCACCAAATGTTCACTGCCTGCTGCCCCTTTCTGCAGGGTCCCCTCTCCCTCATCTTCTTGGGGGTATTCTAACTCTCTGCTATCCTGGATCCCGCCTCCAGCAGGAAATTCGGGCTCCTCTGCCCTCAGCCTCTCACACTGGAAAGTGCTGTCCACAGCCCCAGGAAGGACACACCCTCCCAACTGCCCTAGCTCGGGCTCACAGAAGCCAGGGTTCTGAGCACCCCCACCCTCCACCCAGCCACTCACCCCTGTTCAACGCCTGCCTCGTAGTTACCTTCTGGCCCCCATTAGACTGGGATCCAGAGCAGCCCGTCCACTGCCTGGAGCCCAGGGGCCAACAGGGCCTGCTTAGAGTAGGTTCTCCATCACTGTTGCAAGCCTGCGGCCTGAGGTGGACGCAGGAAGGCTGGTCTGACCGCCCCCGCCCCTCTCTCACCCACCCTGGGGCACCCCACCCACTTTGCAGAAAACATTCTGTCTGCATCTTCCTCCTCCTTCAGGTGGAAGCGCTCAGACACCAGGAAGGAAGGAACCCATCCCACCCCCTCTGGCACTTCGGACACTGGGCATCCATTCGAAGGGGGCCATATGGCCTTCGAGGGAATGAAGAGCCATGTGGTGGGAGGGGAGTGTGAAAAACATCTTCAGTTCAAAGCACCAGAGTGCATATGCGGTGTCAAAATGCCGCCTGATGTGATATCTAGAAAGGCAGCCCTCTTACCACCCAGTGGACGCTGCAGGTTCCAAAGGACCCTAGAGGACAGGCTAGGACTGCCCCCTGGGGTTTCCAAGCCATGAGATCTTTACAGGGGCAGACAGCCACTGGCCTTGCAGTTAGCAGCTCGTTACTTAGGCTGCAGTGCCACCAGGGCCCTCTGTGATGTGACAAGGAGGGCAGACATCTAAAAAGCTTCCGGGGGCCAATCATGAAAATAAGGCAGCCCAATTCTTGGGCCTTGGCCCTCCGAGGACTGGCCGGATGGGAGGAAGGAGAAATGGGGGGAGGTGGGGGGCAGGGAAGAGAAGGTGAAAGTCTAGAATCCTATTTCAGGACAGCTCCAGGTATTCCCAGAGCTAAGCCCCCAAGACAGCCGCAGATGCCTCCCGTTAATGCCACCTCCTTCCCCACTGCCGACGACCAGTCTCCCCAACCCCATCCCCCCACTCCCACTTCCACCTCGGGCATCCTCTGGGCATCCCCTGCTCCTGCTGAAGCCAAGGTGGCTCTGCTCTTCCCGTGCCACCCCACCAAGAGCCCCAGCCCCCAGGACTTGAATGAGTTGGAAGCCCCTCAGCCTTTGAGCTAAGGCGGGAGCCTGGAGTTTCTGGAAGAATCCAGGAGGTATCCTGATGACAAAAGGTCGCAGGAAGCAGGGGGGCCTCTGTGCAAGGCTTTCTTTATTGGGGAAGCAGCACAAATCCGCGTCTATTTAAAAGTACTCAATGGCCGGGTGACTTTTGGGTGGGGTATTCTGGGTATATCTGCGGTCCTCAGGGGTCTTGGAGGACTCAGGGGGGTTGGGGTAGGGGGAGGTCTTGGATGAGTGGAACTTTGACTTGGGCAACACAGAGATCTTGTGCTCTTCACATGTCTTGGTGCCATCCTCAGATTTCGGAGGAGCGGAGCCGATGAGGAGCAGGTAGACCACTCCGCCCAAGTAGGCGCCCAGGATGGGCGCCACCACTGGCACCCACCACCAGTGTCCCCCGTCTCTGCAGACCAGAGACAGCACTCATATCCACCTCTGGCTAAGGCCCAGCAAGCACCCCTTGCCAGCCTCAGCCTGATTCCGGGATGGGGACTAGTCTGGGACAGGGTGAGTAAGCAGGGCCCCAATCAATGCCAGGCTG